AGTGGGCATGGATTTGATCAAAACACCTTATATTATGAAATTCTCAATAAAGTTTTTGTAAAAATTTAAGAAATGTTTTTTAATAATTTTTTTTTTTAATTTAGGGCTGGGGATGTAGCTCAGTGGTAGAGTACTTGTCTAGCATCCCCAGTACTACACACAAAATATTTTCATTTATAACTTGTAAACATTTTAATTTACCTAAATGGGTGGTCCTTGGATGCTGAATGCTGAAGACTTAAAGAGCTTACAAATCTTCAAGTATTCAGAAATTCCATGAGGCTATGTGGGTGAGATACATACATATATATGTATATGCCATAGTTACAGATAAGGTCCACACTCCACCCTGACTATCTTGGAACAGACTCTTCATTTCCCCATGAACAGGAAGAGTTTAGCTGGGTTCCCAGAGGGAAATGTTTCCCATCGCCAGTAACATCTGGGCAACATCTGGTGAGCCCATCCCAGGACAGGGAGATGCTTTTCTGTAAAAAATACATCATTTATTTGATTATATTTTCCATTAATCTGTTTGTCCAGCTCTCCTCATCCACTGGGTTCTCTCCTCTAAGCCCCCTACTCCAGTCATTGCCAACTCCCTGGCCTGGTTTCAGCGTTGTCTGGTTTCCTGGATACAGAGCCCAGCAGAATACAAACCTAGGTAGCTGAGACAACCTCATTAACTCTAGTGTCCACCCTGTCCAGCTTCCCCATTAGCACAACATCCTAAGCAAGGAATGTTGCAGCTGGTGGGGTTCTCTGGTCCAATGCCCTATTTATGCATTGGAAATGGGAGTCTGCAAACTAGAACAGCACTTCAAGACATCATCAAAAACCTTCTTTTTTTTTTTTTTGGTCTTTTTTTGAGACAGGGTCTCCTTGTATCCCCAGCTGTCCTGGAACTCACTATGTAGACCAGGCTGGCCTCGAACTCACAAAGATCAGCCTGCCTCTGCCTCCTGAGTGCTGGGATTAAAGGCGTGCGCCACCTTTGGATGTAAAATCAGGGGAAATCAGGAAAAAAGTTTATAAATTATTAGAGCATATTCAACTCAAATTTCCCATCTTTTTTTTTTTTTTTTTTTTTTTTTTTTTTTTTTTTTTTTTTTTGGGATTTGGAACTCACTATGTAGACCAGGCTGGCCTGGCCTTGAACTCGTGGAGATCACCGGCCTCTTGGCTCAAAAACCTTCTTTCTAAACCAGGTGTGGCAGCACACACCTTTAGTCCCAGCACTCTGAAGGCAGAGGCAGGCAGGCTCTCTATGAGTTCCAGGCCAGCCTGGTCTACATAAAAAGTTCCAGGCTAGCTGGGACTACAGCTGTCTCAAAACACCAAACAAAATAAAAAACTCAAAAATCCCAACCCCTTCTTTCTGGACTAGGGATGTAGCTCAGTTGGTAAAGTGCTTGTCCAGCACTCACAGAATCCTGGGTCTATCCCCAGCACTGTGTAAACTCAGCATGGTAGTACATGATGCCTGTGCAGCATTAAAGCAGTTGAGGCCAGAGGATCAGGAAATTCAGAGTCATCCTCAGCTACAAAATAAGTTTAAGGCCAGCCTGGTCTACCAGAGACCCTGTCTCCAAAGCAACCAACCAAACAACCAAAAACCCCTTTCTGTTGGAGTTGAGCCGGAAGGCAGGCAGTGGAAAGCGTTTCCTGGGACTATCCAGTGCTGCAAGCCTCAGTGAGAGCCCCGCTGAGTGGCGATCGATGAGAGGAGGGGTGATCTAGAGGGAAGGCAGCTCGAAGCGTTAAGTCACTTCTAGTAACAGACATCCAGTTCTGTAGCTTTTTGGTTTTGAAGTGGGGATTGAACCCAGGGCTATGCACATGCCAAGCAAGAGCCCCACCACTGAGTTACATCCCCAGCCAGCTCTGGGGACTTGACTTCCAGAGCAGCCTCAGCCCAACACAACTTCATCGTCCTAGCTGTGTTGAGGCCTCAGACCACCACAATGCTCTATCGTCCTGGAAAGATGGAAAGCAGGCAGATTCCCTGGTCTCTTTACATGTACACCTAGAGGTGAAGGCTGAAGAGGGGCCCTCGCTATCTTCTCCACCTTAGATGCCATTTAGGCAGGACAGGTCACCTCCCCCTAGCACCGGGAGGAGTCGTAGAATGGAATCCTGAGGGTTGGGCTAGCTGCTGACAGGCAGTGCTCCTCTAAGACTGTCAGAACCCAGAATGCAGCGGGGGCAGGACCGAGAGGGGGAGGGTCGAGCTTCCACGGAGGCTCCCTGGAGGAGGCAGTGCAAGCTGAGCCTGTGAAGGCCTCGGGACTCAGGTGACTGGAGAGAGGGAGGCAAAGCAATCTTGGGGACGCAGCCAGGGTGTGAGGGTTGGAAGCTATGTAGGCCCTGAAGTCGGACTGGACCAGACCTGAGCCAGAGGGGCTGGGGTGGGCTCCTGGACCAGAAGTTGACTACTGGAACATACTTTCTTTTGCGCTCTAGTACAGTGAGGGTTGGCCGCAAGTCAAGGGAAGGTCTTGGCGGGAGCAGAAAAGGCAGCAAGCCATTTTAAGTGGCCAGGGTCGGGCTTGGAAGAAACCGGCTTTTATTTAGTACTTTTTTAAAGGAGCATTTTTTTTTAAAAAGGCGGGATGGGGGTGGGGCAATTAGTTCCAGGAATCCCTAGTTTAGGGCAGGGTCTCTGGCCCCAGGGCAGAGGGGAAGGCCAGGCCCTGGGATGATCTTCCTCTCCCTTTCCTTTCTCCGCATCTCGGGTTCGTCAGTAGTCTCAGTTTACTTTCCTGGCAATTTTTTTTTTTTTTTTTTTTTTGAGACAGGGTTTCCTTGTAGCCCCAGCTGTCCTGGAACTCACTATGTAGACCAGGTTGGCGTCGAATTCACAGAGATCTGCCTGCCTCTGCCTCTGCCTCCCAAGTGCAGGGATTAAAGGCGTGCGCCACCAAGCCCGACCAACTTTTCTGGCAAATTTAGGGGTGAGTGATACTGTGGGGGGGCCTGGGAGGGAACGTTCAGATTGGATTGATCATAAAGTGCCAGCCTCTGGCGGGGTGGTGGTGGGAGGCGCGGATCAGGCTTCGGCTCTGCCTCTCTCTGGCTAGGTGGCTTGGCGGAGCTCGGCCCGGTTCGTGGCCTCAGTCTACCCATCTGTCAACCGGGGCTGTGCGCAGAGCTGGGCATCTCTAGGACCCGGTTCCCTGTGAAGCCCGCGCGAGCGGCGCCTGGGGGACGGTGCGGGAGGGTGGCGGGGGCCGGGCCGGGTAGCTGCGGCGCCGCGGCGGGGTCAGAGTCCGCGGGGAGGCCCAGGGGCTGGC